AGGAACTAGGGATAGGGTTAACATTGTTGAAGAAAAGATGCAGAGAGCTAAACATAAACAGATGGCCTCATAGAAAACTTAAGAGCCTTCAATCCCTCATTCAAAATGCCAAGGTAAACTACGATAATAACCTTCTATACATTACTCATGCATGCATGCATGCACTTGGTAACCAAAGTAGTTTTGGTATTTTCTAAAATTTTAATTATTAGTTTCTTTATAACATAAACATAGGCCCTAGGCATATGCCACATCGAATCAATTGTTTTACTACGATTTCTGATTTATATTTACATAAACTTAACTCATTGTAAATTTTATGAACTCACACGAAAAATATATTGCATCTACCTAAAAAAACTAGGAGTTGGGATTAAGGAGGAGGTAGAGACGTTAGCAGGGCACAAGAAGATGATGGAGAAATTGCCAGGTATGGAACTGACAGAAAGAACAAAGAAGCTTAGGCTAGCTTGCTTCAAAGCTATTTATAAGAAGAGAGGACTTAACAATCCTTAGTCCTTACCTTTTCTTTTAGCCATTTTGTTATCATTAGTGGATTTTAATCTACATTGTATGTGTTTTTCTCTTGATAGTTTGATACTCTTTTTTTTTTGTTTCATTTTATGTATTTGTCTATTGATTTTTAATGCAGAAAATTTTGTATAATTTGGGTATTATAGTTTGTATTATGTATTTAGCCATATTTTAGATTGTCGACACGACTACGCCGACGACTCTATACCATAGGTCTATATAAATAGACTTATGAATTTAGTAGGAATAACTTGATTATAATCTTGTGATTTGTTCCATGTCTGATCCACTCCTAAGATTCTCTTGACATGCCCCCAGTTATGTGTAATTAAAATTTTATTAGACTGTTGATCCTAATGAGTCTACCCTAAGTCCACAACCAAACAAGGAACAGGTCCTAAGGCGGACTCACCATTTCTAGGTCAATCATTCCTTAATTACACATAACTTCGAGGTACACCTAAAGAATCTTAGAGTTACCAGTTGTAAATTGTTTGTAATACCAAGTAGTGAGATTCAATGAAATAAAATGCATGCCTATTTCATTGATAAACCTTTTAGTAAATATCCTTACCATTTATATACACATGTATATTTTCGCACTTTAGTGAACTATTCTTGGTGTTTCTGTTAACGTCTTGGAGATGGAGTTATGGTAGTGGGTAGAAGTAGGTTTTGTACGGGCGTTAAAATTTACACATCATGTTGCTCCTGCGAGAATAGGGGTAGAAGAGATAATTAATAGACGCCTAATCCTATAATTACTTATAGGGGTGATCCTTATTAGTTACGTCTATAATCACGTAGTGCATATCAGTTATACATAATTTGAGATAGAATAACTTTCGAATAAATGACTCTACTCTAAGTCCACAACCAAACAATGAACAGGAAGTAGAGCAATAGTCATAGATTCTGAGTCTATAATATCTTTAATTATGTATAACCTTGGCGTATGCACTCAGTTATCATAGGCCTACTAATAGAGGTCTTTAGTTTTCACATAAGTTGGTTATAGTATCACCAAATACTCCTATAGTATTTTTAGCTGTTTAGATTCGATTCTTAAAGTATTCTCTGTAGGGTGTAGTTAGGTTGATAGATTTGTTGCCCATTATGACTATCCCCCAGTATATGTAAGTCACTCCTCGGACAGATATAGTTGATCAGGCTATATCCTTCCCAGACTTGATTTACATATACCAAGGCATACCCATAATGTACAACTCCTCTTCTTTTATTTTATGTTCTTCTAGTTATGACACTATATGAGCATGTATGCATGTATTTATACTTTTAATAAAAAAATCATTTATTTTCTAAAAGTATATTTATTTGAAAAATGCACAAATCAGAGACTATTAGTCCCAATTGTGTTTATAGTTTGTATATCTTATGTGGTTTGATATACTTAATTCACTATAAACTGTGCTCTGATACCAATCTGTCACACCCCAAACCAAGGATGGCGGAAACGTCCGGGGGTGGAGGACTTCATGTGTAGTATCATAACAACAATTGTAATAGTAATTCAAGCAAACACAACCAACATATATATAATTGAAAAAGTTACATCATTGTATGAATTACATGTTTACGAATCAATTACAATATGTTGACAAAATATGAAATAGTAGACGCCTTAGCGTCCCATCCTCAAAAGCACTTGATTACCTGTTTAATGATTTCCTGAGAATACAAGTTGTTTGAAAAAGTGTCAACACAAAGGTTGGTGAGTTCATAAGCTTTTGTTTGGTATTATTAAAAGCCTTTCGTTTTTTAAAGTAGTATTTGTGTTAGAAAATCCAATATTTTCCTTAATGTGTAAATGTAGTCTTAAAACCCAAAGACCGAAATGTACAAGTAATTTGTCATATTTATAGTAAAACAATGCAAGTTTAAATCGACATAAACTCATTAAATTTTAATGAAGTTCCCGTAAATTCCAACGTTTATTAATACTTTATGTGAGTTATTATAACCATGCTATGACCTAGTTGGCCTGAAACGACGTTCTTCAGGCGTCGGAAATGTTATGACATTTGTCACCCCAGACCTGCCGGTCTAGCTGTTGCATGCAGCTTAGGTGTGGGTTTGTCAAACCCAATATAGATCTATACACAAGTATCACGCTCTCCCTCAAGGAGACTCTGGTTACAATACAGGACTTAATGGTAATTTGAAGTAAATGTCTCACAAAGTCATTAACGGAATTACGTGTTATGAAAAACTTGGTACCGTATGGCCGTACCTTGCTTAATGAAAATATCCTTTGTATAAATGTAACCTTTTTAAATGTATTTGTTATGTAATGTATCATAAACTATACCTATTATAGTTTATCAACCAAGGGTAGTACGTGGTAATGTATGCAAACTATATTCAAAATAGTTTATTAAATGTTTGAATGTATCGATTGTACTTTGATTATAATCACTTGTTATTCTTTATATTTTATATGACCAAATCCATTTGTAAACTGATGTGTGTCTAAATATTAAGATAAAATGTCATATATTGCAATAACATATAATCACATAAAGATATACACCTTGCTCAACATGTTACAAGGTGAAATTAAATTAACAGCAACTTTTCGTTGAAAAACAGTTTCTGTTACTGTTCTTAGAAAATTTATAAAAAAATCATCAAAGCTCTAAATCCAAATCCGAAAAATTTTGAGAGTTTGGAATATGAGTCTAGTTTGTTCGTAAATTTTACCATGATTTTTAGTGATCTCTAACAGAGGTGAAAATGTTCATAATCACAGACTGGTCCGGGTTTGCCTCTGAAATGACAGGCAGTTTTGTAAAAATTACCATAAATTGTAGAAAAATCATATGGAGATGTGCAAGTAGCCATTTTAAAGCTAAGAGTTTGAACTACTTGCACCTGGAACAGTTTTGAAAACTAAAATATTTAAGTTGACCAAAACAGTCTGTGATTAACGTCCATCTTTTCTGATGTAATCTGTTAGAAAAAGTTTAATTGTGTTCTTGATGATTTTACTTGTATTCCCCCCTTAAAACTTAAGAAAAACATGTAAATGTAGGGGTATGAACTCACCTTATGTGATTTCAGTAGATGAAAGTGAGATAGAGGAAGTGTTCAACCCAAGAACACTAAGAAGATGTCTTGATGATTCGAGAATCTAACACCGAATAAGATGGAATTTGTGTAAGATATCAATGATTTGAGTAGAATGGAGTTTAATAATTATGTGAATGATGAAGATACTTACTAATTGAAGGAAGAAATCCCTGGAGAAAGCCTTGAAGTTCTTGAAATTGAGAGAAAAGATGAGAGAATTTTGGAGAGTGTCCTTTGGTTGCTAAGTGTAGAATGAAAGAACTTTATGGAGAATGAGGAGAGAGGATCAATCCTCCAGCTCTTAGAACATGGGAAGAGCTGGAGATTGGGTGTAAAGGTCCACTAAGGTGACAAGGAGTAGTGGGAAAGAGTGGATGATCATAGAGTGAGGTGGTGGTGGCTTGCTTTTGTCATAAAATAAGGAAAAGCAAATATTCCCTCAATAATTAGTCCAACCACCAATTCTTTTAATACATTTTTCTAAAAAACCCTGGAGATTTATATATTTTGGGGCCTTAGTTTATAAAATAAAGTTTTGGGTGAAAATCCCACGTTAAAATAATGAAAAACGGAGTTAAAACGAAGTCGTAGTCGAAAAACCGGAAAAATTATGAACGCAAACATGCATGTCGTCTTCTTTTATGACAGGGGCTTCCTTGATACTCATTGCGTGTCATCAACACGCGAGTCGTAAGGTTACGGCAGATAAATGTGTGTCGTCTTCCTTTATGACAGGGACTTCGGTCCTGAAGCTTCAGTTTTGGGTCCTTAAGCCTATTTTACCCGTTTTTACCCCGTTTCAAGTGGTTTTTGACCCAGTTAAGGGTCGGGATGGCCCGAATGATTACAAAAAATTAAAGGAACTTTTGAGAGAGATTTGGGAGAGATTCGAGAGAGATTTGGGAGAGATTTTAATAGAGAGAGGTTGAGTGAAAGAGATTGTGAGAGGTTTCGTTTGTGATCTTTTTGAGTGTCCGGCTTCGCAACGAAAGGTCCATAAACCCCGTTAAGCCATGATTTAGTGTCTTACACAATCCCGATGATTGTGCAATAGTGTTTTATCGCTTTGGTTTGTTGTTTAGCACTGTTAAGGCTAAGGAAAATCAAACACATGAATTTTTCAAATGATGTTTTCTCATTGAAATAGCGAATTGTATAATGTAAACCCTAACATACAAGGGTTAATGGAGTTGACCGGTTTGACTTGTTGACTTTGTTTGACTTTGACTTGAGCGAAATTTGACGGTTGTCACAGTGGTTTACCCCCTCATTACCTATGATTGAAAGTTGGATACCTAATAATATTGTTACGGAATCTCGACCATCGAACGGATTGTGTAACAACACCCAATTGATATGTAAATGTTTTCGACACAATGCCCATTGATGTTGAAATAGTTGTTGGTCAACATGCTGGAAAGATGGTATTTTTGCCAAGGATTCATCTATGTCTATCTGAAGATGACATGTTCTTATCCAAGTTGAAGAGAAAATAATTTCCAATTCGATTATCTTTCGCGATGACAATCAATAAAGCTCAGGGATAAACAATTCCAAATGTAGGTATTTATCTTCAAGAATCAGTTTTCTCGCATGACCAACTTTATGTGTCATTATCCAGAAGAATATCATGTGTCAATACAAAAGTATTAGTGAACCCTGATGAACAATCCAACGTAAGTTAAGTATATACATCAAATGTGGTGTATAAAGAAGTGTTGCATGATTAACAATGCACAATCAATAAGGCGTTCATATATATTTGTATATAATCCAAACTTTTTCATTTTTAATTCTTACTTATTTCGTTTTTGCTATCATGACTCTTATTGATAATTGTTTTCCCACATGACCAATTTTATGTGGCATTATCCAGAGGGATATCACGTGTCAATACAAAAGTATTAGTAAACCCCGACAAACAATTCCACGTCAGTTAAGTCTATACAACAAATGTGTTGTATAAAGAAGTGTTGCATGATTAACAATGCACAATCAATAAGGTGTTCATGTACATTTGTAAATAATCCAATCTTTTCATTTTTAATTATTACTGATTTTGTTTCCACTATCATGACTCTTATTGATAATTATTTAAAAGTAATAACTATTTTTACGAAAGAATTTAATGGCCTCTAGAAACTAATTTCTGTAAATACTATTCGTACTCGTCGCTTGGCGCGAGTAAAAGGCTAGTGTGTGTATATATATATATATATATATATATATATATCTATATATATATATATATATATATATATATTATATATATACCTTAATATACATATTTGGTCAAAGGCTTAAAATTAAGAGGTCCAAACCATTACTACAATCATGTACAATAATTTTATGCTGTAAAATCTAAATTCGGTCAGCATGGTGAATCAATCAACAATGTTAAACCAACATTCCCTCAATTTCAGCCATTTGAATCGGTCAAAATGAATTGAATCGGTTAGATTAGTCAAAGTTATATGACATCTCAGACTTCTTGAATCAGTTGAATTGGGAAACGTCTCGCAGCATCCTCTCCTCCTTCCCCTATATGTTGCGTCTCACCACCCTTATGCTCCCCCGTTCTCCATAAACCCTACACTCCACCGCCACGATCACTCAATCCCTCCGTCATCACTCATTACGCATGTCGCCAAGCAACATCAATCGAATGGATCAACCTTTTGAATCGGTCAATACTAAACTGGTATTCCTCACCTTCAGGATATTCAAATAAAAAACGTGTTCGATTCACTGATATCTCGCGTTTCTTCCATACGACTACTCCACCTTCTCTTTCCTCTTCACGTGATTGTTTCTCTTCTCTCCAAACTCATATTCAGTTTCTTTCTTTTGTTCATCCACTTTCTCTCTTGGCCCTCCCAGGACCATACAAACACACACATACACACCCTTTGATGTTGTGGCTTCTGACGACAACAACCAAGACAATTTATGTTCCACTTCAGTAGTTAACCAATCTATTATTTGTATTGTTGGTTATAAAATAAGAGAGATTTGGGTATTCTTGATGAAAACCCTAAAGCTCGGACTCAGCCGATTCGCTGGTATTTTCTCTTTTTTCTGAGATTGTTTTTTTTTCCTTTCTTACTCTCAATGTTCCTTGTCAAATTTCAAAATTGAATTGAAGAATCTAAATTATGTGTTCTCAATTTTGCCTTTTTCCGATTTTGGGGTTTTCTAACTAGAACATGAACTGAGTTTTTTTTTTATTTGCATCTTGATAGATTTTTCAGAATGGTGTTTGCAGGAATTCCGCTGCCAGAGCCACAACGTCATCACCTTCCTACCCCAGCAGCGCCACCGGTAAGCTTCTCTTCTCCATCGCTGAAATCGATTTGTTTCTTCTCTAAAATCGATATGATTGCTTCTCTTCTCTATTTCTGAAATTGATTTATTATTAGAAATTGATTTGTTAAGTGATTTCTTCTATAAAATCAGTTTTCGATATAATTTTCAACACAAAGTGCCACTGCTGAATCTTATTCTCAACATATGCTCATTTTTTTGTTTATTTTGCAACAGAAGCATGATCAAATATGATTTTGGATTTGGAATCCTTGGCAAGTCCAATTTTTTGGTTTATTTTACAATAAGGTGGTGTTTCTTTCTCATTTTGTCATCTTTTGAGTTGGAATCCCAAGTAAGTCCAATTTTTGTAATGTAATGTATTGTGGGTGAATCTTATTAATTCTATTTGCATCTGTTTTTCATTCAGTTTTGGTTCAAGTTAAAAAGATTATATTTTGTAATGGTTACATACTTGCAGGTTGACCGTATGCCTATATTATGGTGCAATTCTCGTCCGGTTAGCTTTAATTTTGGCAACACAAATGTTTCTAATAATGGTGTGTTGTGTTTATATTCCTCTATATGTTATTTGGATGCAGGGCATGTGATTAGTGTGATAAGAGTCTGAATAAAACAAATAAAATGATCTCTTTATGACCATTCTAATATTTTAGATGGATATGCAATTCACATTGTCAATTCAACCTCAGGTTTTTTTCCTAAAAAACTGCATTATTTTTGCAGGTGTTTACTCATATTCCCTTATGGACATTGTAAACTTATATTCTGGCTTACTGGTATGTTGTTTTTTTATACTAACGTGATTTTTTTTGTTTTAACTTCATAAACTTAAGGGGGACAAGTCTATACATTTGTTACAATATATAAATAGCTCCTGTTTCTCCTTTCTTCTCTTATCTCTTAATATAAGTAAATAAATACATATTACAGGGTTCCTAATGAGAGTTATGTCTCATTATAGCATTGTACTTTGAGACATCAACGTTTTAATAGGAACCTCCTTCCGTTTTATGTTTTTCCAATAGCAATGTACTCTTTTTTGTTTGTTAAGTATAGCATCATGCTTTCATTTTCTATTTTGTCAAATATAGAAAAATGAAGGTAGAGTGTTATAAATGGGCATATCTTCCAAAGTACATTGCTAATTTTCTTGGTGTGTCTGGTGTGCATGTGTGTGTTTTTATGCTGCATGATGTGTGTGTGATATTATGGATATATAATTGTAAGTACGCTGCTATTTATCTATTAGGAAAAACAACCCTAAGGGTAAATTTGTAAATATCCCATCAAACTTAATCGCCTATTAAATGTTTGCATTTTTCAGGTACTCATTGCATCAATTCACTAAGAGACTCATGTATCCTCTGCCCGTAAAACATAGATACACAGTAGAGCAAGTCTACCTACCTACAAAACAGATTACACGTGAACTTCATGTCGTCAAAATCCCTAAATGCTTAAGGTAATGTTTCTCTCCTTGGATCATATCATATACTACATCTGAACGGTATTTTGGTCATTCTTAATGGTAATTGCATTGATGTATCATGTGTGTACTACATACTTTATCAAGTTCAGAATTTGGAGTCAAAATGGAGCCATTTGCACATGTTTCATTATTTTTAGCTACTTTTCTTAATGTTACTTTGATACACCTTTCTAATTCTTTTCTTAATTAAAATCCACATTTTTGGCTTATATGGCGATCGATCAAGAGTTGGGACCAGGCAAATGGGAAATATGTCCTACAATTCTTTTTTTTTTTTTTTTAATTTTATTAAACCAAAATGTAGTAACTACTTAGAAACATAAAAAAACATTGTTTTTACTAATGTACACAGTTTTTTGGGTTTAGTGTTATATTAGGTTACAAATGTATACAATTTTTCTGGGTCTTGTGTGAGTGTTTTTGTTGGTTACAGATCTTTACAGAATAAAGATTCTAGAGGGTAAAGGTAAAGAAATGTATTTCCTATGACACAAAAGGATACGAAATCCCATGTGATCTTAAGTGTTTTGTTTATGTAGATCTAATTTTATATATGTACGCATTTAACTTTTATCTTTAATGTGATATAGTTGTCTTATTAATTATTGATGTTGCTTTAGGAAAATGTCATGGGCACATAGTGCTAATGGCTTTATAATTACAATTTGTTTTTTTCCCATACCCAGAAGTTATTTGAATTTTATTAGGGATAGAGTTTTTTTGAAAGGCAGAGGAATATATGGATTAAAAGGAAGATTAAAAGGAAAAGGAAAGTTATTAAGATTTTGTTGTAAACTAATTAATTACTATTGATGATTTTGTTGGAAAGTATTTAATTATTATTGTATATTTTTAAAACAAATTAAGTCTTTGATGGTAATGGTAAGAAAAGTCAACGAAATATTTTTTAGTTGTCTAATGGTCATCATATTTAGACTAATGTTGAGTTATATTTCACTTGGACTTAGCAAATTATTAAACCACTTAGATCTTTGGTGCTTACACTAACTTTTGTCAAAAGCATTTAAAACTATAACCGCAACTAACACTTTCTTTTTACTCTTCCTGTTTCTTTATCACATACAAGAACCAACATTTTATTAATATCTTTTGTTCTGTTCAGGGGGGTTTTCCCTGGTGTGGAAGGTGTAGTTTGTGCTGTCATAGGCTCTAGCCGTTGTATGGGTGTCGTATGCCTAACAGGTGATGTTAGATGTGATTTAGGTGATGTCTCTCCAAAGGTGGTTGCATGGCGGTTCACGGTTGCAACAAGGAGACTAAGGTTGGTTGAAAGTGATAGGAGTTTCGGTTATGATGGTGAAGAAGGCTATGTCAAGAAGTAGCAGATGTCGATTCATAGTGTCGGATTGCTTCAAACCATGGGGCTTGTATGAAACTCGTTTTGTGGTTGTAAGGTGATATATGTTGATGCATTGCATATTGTTTTGGAATTTGTCATGTTTGCGAATTGAAACTATGCCACACCGAAACCATTCACCGAATTGAGTTAATCTTCGTTTGTAAATTATTCACTAAAATAAAATTAACAGTCACAACTGCATCGCACGGGTATCTCATTATTTGCTTATATATTGTACTCTAAACTCAAGAACCTAACTAATGAACGGTAGATTGTAACATAAAACCTAAACAAAAAATACCAAATATTAAACTCAAATTACTATGTTTTTTTTAATTAATTTACATCAATGAAGAAAATGTTTGTTTATATGTTATTGTGAACTAAAAATGATAAATTTTTGAGATAATAGATCTAACATATGAAAAAAAAACTATAAAATATACACAAAAGCAATGAACACATTAACTAATACATTTTATGATGTAAAGAAAAAGAATATTTGAATTAAAACTAATAGTTAGTGATATTTGCCAATACACCGTACCTTATTTTTAATATGATATGTTTCTTGAAGTAAACTAGTCATTGAAGTGAAATTAATCATTTGTCTGGCGGAAAAAACTAATCGCCTATATATAATAATTTATAGAATACTCGTCGTCTGGCGCTAGTAAATGGCTAGTATATATATATATATATATATATATATATATATATATATATATATATATATATACACACTAGTCATTTACTCGCGCCAAACGACGAGTATTCTATATATATATATATATATATATATATATATATATATATATATAGGTTCGGTGAATATATGACTGTCATATACCTATTAATAGGTATAGAACCATCAAAACCACGTAGTATTATTACAATCAATTCAACAAATATATATAATAATCTCTTATAAAAAAATTTAAAAAGCTCACGTTTGATAACAACCAAAATCAGTTTAAACAAATGTATGCAAATGGTATATGTAGATATGAAACTGTGTTTTTGATCACGAAGCTTGAAATCTTGAAATCACTATCATTAATTACAATAAATAAAAACGAAATTACTCCTTATCCTTATGTTTACAAGAAAAACAATTAAATATATAAAACAATCAACACTTTAATATTCCATAGATGGAGATGAATTGAAGGTTTGGGTTGATAATTTTAAAATTCCTTTGCTTTGCAAATAATTACGTTACCAACTCCTCGAGTTTTGATTTTTCGAATAAGGCGAACTATAGAAGACTTGGAAAAACAAATAATTGAATACCTAATATTTAGGATAAGTAATTTGAGTTATTTTAACTCAAAGCTACTCGTTTTGAATGGTTCTATATGTAGTGTTGTATACATGGCGGCATATACATATTATTTTTGTATATATATATATATATATATATATAATATATATATATATATATATATAATATATAATTTCAAGAATAATTTGGTAATTTTATTATTGTGTTTGGTCTTTTCTAGTGTTGCGAAATAACGAGTTGTCTAGTCCAGTCCAAGTCCAATTCGGTCTAAACCAAAAGCTCAGCCTTAAAAGATCTAATTGAGAATTCGTGCACTGTTTCATTCATTCATTACGTAACAGGTTTTGAATACAAAAGCAAACAGGATATATATATATATATATATATATATATATATATATATATATATATATATATATATATATAAGATCCTGAAATTCAATAAAAGATAACAAAAACAAAGAAGTAGATAAAAAAAATAGATAAATACGAAACATCTGTGATTATCCATTCACTAAATAATCTAGATTCCTTTACACCCCCTCAAGCGGGAGCATGAATATTCTGAATGCCCAGCTTGTCTGACAACAACTTCAAATGGTCTGAACCAAGTGGCTTAGTGAGCAAATCAGCCAATTGGTCTTGAGTGCTTATCTTTACAGGAACAATCTCTTTTGACAAAACACGTTCTCGTACGAAATAGCAATCCATTTCGACACGCTTGGTGCGCTCATGAAACACCAGATTCTAGCAATGTTGCGGGCTGACTCATTGTCACACAAAAGAGGTGATGGTGCCTGAAAATCAACATCAAATTCTGCTAACAACCAACGAGTCCAAAGAATTTCGCTCACAGTAGTAGCCACTGCACGATACTCGGCTTCAACTGAGGACCGAGAAACAACTGATTGTTTCTTGGATTTCCAAGAAATCGGTGCACCTCCCAAAAGCAATATGTACCCCGTCCGTGACCTTCGTGAAAAGGGACAACCCAACCAATCCGAATCGCTATATGCTATCAATTCAATCCTCGGTCTTTGGTAGTAACACACCTTGTCCCAACGTAGTTTTGAGATAACGAAGCACTCGCATAGCAGCATTCCAATGACTTTGTATAGGGTCCGAGACAAATTGGCTAAGAACATTCACGGAATAAGTAATGTCAGGTCTGGTTGCTTGAAGATATAAAAGTCTCCCAGCGAGATGTCTATACACACTAACATTGACCCGATCTTCATCTTCTCCCTTATCTAATTTTAAATTTTGTTCCATTGGAAACCGGCGGGGTCGACATCCAAGAAAACCTGAATCTTCTAGGACATCAATGGTGTACTTTCGTTGACTAAGGACCAAACCTTCGTTTGTACGAGCCACTTCTATGCCCAAAAAATATTTCAAGGTTCCGAGATCCTTGATACTAAAACTCGCATCAAGTCTAGATTTGGTATATTCTATCTTTTTCTTGTTGTTTCCAATAATTATTACATCATCCACATAAATAAGGGCTGCCACAAAGGTGTCTCCATGCTTATGAACGAAGAGTGAATGATCAGCTTGAGATTGTCGAAAGGAGGGTTGTAGTAAATTTTTGATACTAATTTCTCGAGGCTTTCTTTAACCCATATTGTGACTTTTTGAGCTTACAGACTCGTGTTTTATTGTCTTTTCTAAAACCCTAAGGTATCTTCATGTAAATGTCTTCGTCCAAATCTCCATGCAAAAAGGCGTTGTTAACATCTAACCGGTGTATGATCCAGTCACGTTTGACAGCTATTGTGAGTAGAACACGCACGGTTACAAGCTTAGCCACCGGGGCAAAGGTGTCATGAAAATCCACACCTTCCAGTTAGGTGTAACCCTTAGCAACAAGATGGGACTTGTAGCGTTCTATATACTTTATCTTATAGACCCACTTGGAATCTATAGCTCTTTTCCGGAGGGCAAAGATGTAAGTTCCTAAGTGTTATTTTGTTCAAGAGCATGGATCTCCTTTTGCATGGCTTCTTTCGAGGAAAATTTTTAATAGCCTGATGAAAGAACTTTATCTCATTGTGGGTGGCGATCGCAGCTAAAAAGGACTTGTGATCATTAGAAAATTTTTCATATGAGACATAATTAGTGAGAGGATGTACCGTGGAGGCGACTCAATTGGTAGCGGGTTGCGGATGACTTATCGAAGGAGGCAGATGTATGTCATAATCTTTGAAGCGAACTGGCTGAGATCGAGTTCGAGTCTCTCTGTTGTTGTCAGTGTTGCTGATTTCTTGGTTCTCTTGATTGTCGCTCTCTATGGGTTCGTTGTTTTCATCGATGGTAGCATTATCTAGCTCGAGAGTATCGTGATGATCTTGGGCTTCATCCCAGATGTGGCTATCGACGATGGAAGGATGCTGAACCGGAGTCGTGGTGACCTCCTTATCAGTGAAAACAAAGAGGTCTTCATATTCTTCATTTGTCTCCTTACTTTCTTGTATTCGTTTCATTGGAAATTCATGTTCTAGAAATATTACATCTCTTGAGACTACTACCCTTTTGTACTCCAAGTCATAAATTTTGTAGCCCTTCGTCCCCTGTGGATAACCAACAAAGATACCTGGTCTACCTCGCGGCTCAAACTTGTCTCCACCGGTTTCTGTGCTTCGGTAGTAGGCTAAACACCCAAATACTCTCATGTGATCATAAGTGGGTGATTGATTAAAAAGAACTTCATAGGGAGTGACCCCATTGAGCACTTTCGAGGGAAGCCTGTTGATCACGTAAGTAGCGGTCAGAATACATTCTCCCCAAAAAGCTTTGGGAAGATTGCCCTGGAAACGAAGGGCTCGTTCCGTCTCAAGAAAATGTCTATTCTTGCGTTCTATCACCCCATTTTGTTGGGGGTGTATATGGACAAGAAGTCTCCAAGACAATACCCTCTTGTGCATAAAAGCTATGCATTTTGTGAGAGACAAATTCTCTCCCGTTGTCACACCTTATACGTTTGATCTCCTTTCCAAACTGTGTTTTGACCATCTTGTGAAAGTTTATGAGGTATGTGCTAGCCTTATGCTTATGTTTGAGAAGGAATGTGCATACGGATCGACTAAAATCATCTACTATAGTCAAAAAATAAAAAGCCTTTGAAAAAGATGGGGTTCTATATTTTCCCCACACATCACAATGTATAAGATCAAAACAATTTGTAGTCTTTATTTCACTAATGGGAAAGGAAGCCTTGTATGTTTAGCCTTAAAACAAGCATCACACACTTCAGTTTGAGTATTTCTAGAAACATTTTTAACAAAGCCTAAACTAGAAATCTTCTTGGGTGATGGATGACCTAGCCTCTTGTGGCAAACCTCAAAGGTAGTAACGAAAGCTTTCCTCTCCATTGCCCCCATTCGATATAGTCCTCCAACGCAATTACCCGCACCAATCAAGTCCCTCGTCACTAACTTCTGCATCACAAAGAAATCAGGAAAGAAGGTTATAGCACAATGTAAGTTCTTGGCAAGCTTATTCACAGATAACAAATTATAATTGAAATTCGGAACATATAGGACTCCATTAATCTTAAGGCCTCCTAGAAGGGTATGTTAACGCTCCCCGATAACAGGTATTTTGTCACCATTAGGAATGATGACGGGTGCCTCCTTCGTGTAAGTGATTTTGTTATCAAGAAGATCACTCCTGTGGGTGATGTGATCGGTAGCACCCGAGTCAACGACCCATCCATCGTAAGAATTTTCTCTACCTGCCAAGTCAGCCTTCAGAATTGTCTCATTGTGTCACACCCCCAAACCAGAATGGCGGAAACGTTCAGGGGTGGATGACGTCATTTATAGTATCACAACTATTGCATGACAGTAATCAAAG